GGCTTCGGCGGCGGTAGCGCGCGGAGCGAGGCTGGGAGAGGCCCCGGGGAGGGCGAGGCCGCGCGCTCCCGGCCACCCTCGGGGACCGCCTGCCGGCCGTGCTCCCTGGAGGCTTCTCGGACCACCACTTGCTCCGCGGTGCCCGGGAGACTTCCTTCGCAGCCTCCGAGTAGCGTAGGTCAGGACGGGCCCTGCTGCCCGCGGATTTCCCTGCCGCGCGAGCTCGCCGCCCCCTTCGCTCTGCCCGCCCACACGGGCTGTCCCGCCCGGGCGGGGCGCACCGGCGAGGACTGGGCTTTGCCTGGCGTTCCCGAGGTTCCAGGATCGCCCTGGCCCGGGAGGTGGCTTCCGAAAGAAAGACCAACAGTTTCCTGGAGTTGTACACTGGAATTCAGCTCATTTCCCTCCAGCCACACCCAGACTTTCATCTCTGTTTTGGCACGGGGAGCACAGCCAGGAAACACGTTTGAGATGATTGGAGGAAACGGAGGGCAGGATGGGAGGAGAGTGCCCCCGGGCCGGAGGAAGGAAGGGGAGAGGGGGGTCCCCCGCCGTCAGCACCGCATCCTCCCGACCCTCACAGGGCCGTGGTCCCCCCCACCCCGGGCCCTTCACTGACCCTGTCTGTGCTGGGACTCAGTTACCCCTCTGCGTTAGATCCCACCTGGCCCACGCCGTGCCCTGCTCTTCCCACTCTGCCGTCCTTGTCTCTGCTCTTGACTCAGGGCTGTCATCCGCGACCCTGTGCAGGACTAAGCCTGTTCTTTCCTCTCCTGGAGAAGAGCTGTGCTGTCTGGAGGCGGCTCGCAGAGGCTCTGAGAGACCGTCACACCCACATTCGCAGGCCCTTTCGCTGCGTCCTGGGAGAGAGAACTCTGTCTCAGGAGGGGTGCGCCCTCTGGGGGCATTTCTTGGAAGCTGGGTGGGAGGTGGAGGTAGTGATGCGCCCAGGCTGGGGACCCTTCTGGAGGTGGCCGTCCTCAGTCTCCTGTAGAAATGGTTTGCCTCTCGGCCGCACCTTACCGTTGTGTTTTTGGATTCTGGCCGGGTAGCTGAGGTTTGGGGCTGAAAGAGCAAAGTCCAGAGTGTCTTTTACCGCCTTCCCAAACGAACCCCCGTATTTGGCTCACTTTTGTGAAGTGAGTGATGGGCCAGGGTCAGGCCCCCTAGGGTTTTGTCCTGCTCGGGGCTGTGAGGCGTGGGGCAGCAGCCCGCTGAGTCAGGTGTGCCCTGGGGGGGAGGTGGGAGGTGGCTGAGGGAGGGTCCTGTCCCCTTCCCCAGGGTCCGCGCCGGCTCACTGCCTGTGGCCTTGAGGGTGTGGGCTATGTGAATCTGGGCCAACACTCAGTGCCTGGTGTCAACTGCGGGAGTGAGCTGGTGTCCTCCGCCTCTGCTGGCCAGAGAGGTAGGGGAGGTTGAGTAGGGACAGTGCATCTGTGGCAAGCGGCTTGCCCGTACTGTCTGTGCGTGAGCATGAGTCCATCTGTCTGCCAACCACTGTCACTGCCTGTAGTGAGACAGGTACAGGCACCCTGTCCTGGGAGTCAGGTGGGCAGGCACGGGATCCCCATCCCTGGAGGAGTTGGGAAGGGGCATGAGCTCCTCTATACGCCCTCCAGTTGGGGCAAGGTGGGGGCTCTCCCTTCCCCACGGAGTGCGGGGTTGTATTTTCTTGTCTGACCTTGCCTGCACAGCACTGGGGTTGTAGGGTCATTGCTCAGTGCCTCCTCTACCCCCAGTGAGTCCAGGCGCACTCAGCTGTGGTTCTCTCCACTGCAGTGATGCTCAGTGTCTTCCCAGTGGTTTAAGCAGGCGTGTAGCAGTTGCTTGCTGAAGCACTGTGCCCTTGTTACCAGCAGATCCGCTGCCACCTCTCGGGAAGGAGAGGCCACTGGGGTAGGGTCTTTTTCGAGTTCAAGTTCATGAAGCCAGTAAGAAAACCTGGGTCACCAGACATGGTGCACGCCTGTAATCCCAGTACTTGGGAGGTGAGGCAGGAGGGTCACTGAATTCAAGGCCAGCCTGGGCTACAAAGTGAGCTCAAGGCCAGCCTGCACTGCATAGTGAAACCTTGTCTCAAAAAGACAAGAAAGAAAGAAAGCACAAGTTGTGTGCCAACCACATAGACTGTTCAGTGGCCAAAGGATGGAGAAGCAGGAGCCTCGTTCGCACACCAGCCTCACCCCACTGCAGCAGGGAGTCATGGACACGGGGCAGTGGGCCTTAGAGGGAGGATGTTCAGATGTTTTGGGAAAGGGGTGGCGGTTTCTAGGAATCTAGGTGCTCTGTGTTCTTCCTTTGTAGGGTCCACCCTGGTGACTGTGTAGTATCACGGTGGTACACATGCCATTTTGCCTTGGTCATGGCATTCTGCCTTGAGATAAGGCCATGAAAGCTGAGGTCTGTGAGAGATGGCTGAGAAACTGTTTCAGGCCCAGTTGGTCTTCCTTAGCAAACTGCTATGAAGAAGCATAGGCATCGATCCCTAAAGATAAGTGCAGTTAGAGCAGGGTCAGCAAGGCAGTCGTGCGGATGTTTCACTGGGTAATACAGCCCAGAAGGATAAAGGTGAACCCTGTTGGGTGACCTGTGTTACCCTGGAGGGAACCTAGGCTTGGGTGGTGAGAAGCCGTTTACTCTGAGAATCTGGATTGGTAGCTCCCAGTGCAGAACCTGGGAGAGCCCATGGCCTTTGTGCTTGGGTGGTGGACATGGGGCCGCTGGGGCACAGGGCCGGGGCTGTGGAGGGGTAGAGAGGAGGCATGGCTGGGGGCAGTAAGCTGTATGCGTGGGGAAATGTGGAGGCCAGGGAGGAAGCTGTGCGAGGTGGGAGGAGTTGGGGTCAGAGCCAGCCATGCGTGCGGTGTGCCTGTGCCATGTGTACCTGTGCCTGATAGAGCTGGGTGGTGCTTCTGAGAGATTACCTCATGGCCTACATTGGGGATTAACGAACGGCCTCCCTGCACGGGTGCCCTTCCTGTGAGATAGCCCCAAGGGAGCTAGGTGGCCCCTCCAGGAACCGGACACCCCCAGGGTTTCCCCTACCCACCTGGATGCTCTCCCTGGGTTCATGTGGGGACAGGTGCACATCTCAAGGCTGGGGGAGGAACCCCATTTCCTTTCTGCGCAGTGGGTGGGCGGGGCTGGTTTCCCATCCCCAAGGGATTTGGCTCAGAAGGGTGGGTCCAGGCTTGGCAGGGATTACCCCCAGCCCTCAGTGCAGAGCTGCTGCTGTGCCCGGCTCCAGGCTGGCTGGAGGCCTCACCCTGCGAGTAGGTGGGTGCTGTCCTGTCCCCAGGGTGGAGGCAGATTCTCTCTGGGGGCCAGATTTGGGGAAGATGGGTGCAGGGCTGGGGGCTAGGAGAGAGTAGGTGGCTTCAAGGTGAACCTGGATCCTCCACAGTGGAGGAAGGTCAGGTCCTGGATGGGGCTGGCTATGTCCCCCACCGGTGCCATCTTCACTGCCCCTGGAGGGTCTGGGGCACTGCCCAGCTTCCTGCCAGCCAGCTGTCCTGCCCAGGACACAGGCAGTGTCGAGACAGGTCCCAGTGCAGTGGGAGGTTCTGGAATGGGCTGAGGTTGAGCAGACCAGAATGTGGCCATGTTGCCTGGATGGATTGCCCTCCCCAGACCTGGCCCTGTCTGAGCAGCAGCTCCTGCAGGAGCCAGCATCCTGGCCCCTGTGTGGGAGGCCTTTGGGGCAGGTCTGGGGGAGGTGAAGGACACTTCTGGTGGTCCAGGGAGGGCTCTAGGGGTGGCCCTTGTGTCTCTGGGGTCCAGTGCTGTGCTGCAGGTGCCAAACATCCCGAGGCGTGAGGAGGCCACCCTCCTCCACTCACGTCTCGTCACCCCTACAGGCATGGCAGGACCCAGGCCCGTGGTGCTGAGTGGCCCTTCGGGGGCTGGCAAGAGCACCCTGCTGAAGCGACTTCTGCAGGAGCACGGCAGCATCTTCGGCTTCAGTGTGTCTCGTGAGTGCCTTGGGATATGAGGGCTGGGTCCCAGAGCCTCCAGACAGCGCACACCTCGCGGCATGGGTCAGCCTGCCTGGGGAGTGAAGTGGGGCTGGAGGGCCCTGTGGTCCCCTCAGCAGGTGACACCTCTTCCTAGATACCACAAGGAACCCACGACCTGGCGAGGAGAATGGCAGAGGTGAGCTGCCCAGGCAGTGCTGTGTTTTGTCAAGAGAGGCCCTGGCCTTCAGGGTACTGGGCAAGTTGGGGCCTGTGCATCATGCCAGTGCAGTGCGTAGGTCTTTGTGGGAGGATCTGGGGCCCCAGGACCAAGGCCGGGGGTCCCTGCTGGGTGCCATTGGCATGTGGCTAAGCACGTAGATGTGTGCCCATCAGCACCTCCCAGGTTCCCCTGTGCCAATGCATGCCCAGGAGGCCCACTCTGTAGAACCTGGAGAGGTGTCCGGTCCCGCCAGAGACCCTGGCTGTCTCTAGTCCCCCCACCTGTGGACCCTGTCAGGCTCCAATCCCCATGTGAGCGCTTTTGGTTAGAGAAAGGGCAGCGGGTACAGGGGAGAGGACAGCTGTTGGCCGGCCTGAGATGCCATCTGACAGCTTCTTCCTCCCCAGATTACTACTTCGTGACCAGGGAGGTGATGCAGCGTGACATTGCGGCTGGGGACTTCATCGAGCACGCTGAGTTCTCAGGGAACCTGTATGGGACGAGGTGGGCTGTGCCTGGCTAGCCTGGGGTACCCCCTGGCCGCCCCACCTGTTCCCTCTGCCACCCATATGCCCACCCAACCTGCTGGCCCCTGGAGCTGGGCATGGGCAGCATGCAGGCTGCACCGCCCCTCTGTACTAGCTCCTGCCCAGGTGGCTCTGGTGAGCAGAGAGGCCTGGACACATCCTGGCCGTGTCCTCTAGCCGCCCTGTCAGGATGAGCAGCTGGCAACAGTGATGGTACCTTGGGCCACGCACAGCATGGTGCCATAAGCGTGCACACCAGCAGTGCTGGGGGGCTGGGGTCGGGGGCAGCTCATCCACATCCCCATCACCCCTTCCCCCAGCAAGGCTGCCGTGCGGGCGGTGCAGGCCATGAACCGCATCTGCGTGCTGGATGTGGACCTGCAGGGCGTGCGCAACATCAAGAAGACCGACCTGCGCCCCATCTACATCTCTGTGCAGCCGCCCTCGCTGGCTGTGCTGGTGCGTGCCGGGTATGGGCAGGTGGGCAGACAAGTCGCCTAGGAGACACTGACCCTGGGGTGCTTTTTAGGAGCAGCGGCTGCGGCAGCGCAACACCGAGACGGAGGAGAGCCTGGCGAAGCGGCTGGCCGCCGCCCGGGCAGACATGGACAGCAGTGAGTGTCGTGCGCTTGTCTCCCTTTGGGTCTCAGCCAGGGTGAGGGTGGTGTTAGGCTCCTGCAGGATGAGGCAAATGGAGCTGCAGGCCCAGGTTCCACACAGACAGGAGACATGTGGCTTGAGGTCCTGGACGGACAGGGCGGAAACGACTGGAGGCCACCTTCTTGTACCCTGACCGTCCCTGCAGGCAAGGAGCCCGGCCTGTTTGACCTGGTGATCATCAATGACAACCTGGATGAGGCCTACGCGCAGCTGAAGCAGGCGCTGTCTGAGGTGGGCCACCCCGGCTTTCTTGTGCTCTGTGGAGCACCCGCTGTCAGCCTGGCCTGGGAGGGAGGTGGGCACCCAGCCCTCCTCAGTCCTGGCTCACTGACCCACTATTTCCTTTCTTGGCAGGAAATCAAGAAAGCCCAGGGGCCCGGCCAGGCCTGAGGACCAGCATCCATGTCCTCAGCCTGATGGCTCCAGGTGGGGCCTGGCTGGGTACACACAAAGTCCTGCAGGGGCCGTCACCGGATGGACGGAGCTGGCCCCACATGGCCCCATGATGGCTCTGCCCCTCAGTGGGAGCGGGCAGCTTCCTCGCTGGCCATGCTCTAAGGACCCTGAGGTGCCCTGCCCGCCTCCCTGGACCTTTCCTGTCCTCACCTCTCCTGCTGGAGCAGGCTGATTTGTGAATAAAAGTAATTTGGGCTAAGTGCACATCCCTGAGGTTGGGGGCTTGGTCCTCAGCAGGCAGGGGACACAGTGCTCTGTGTGGCGCCCCGGGTGTCTGTGTTCCGTGCCCTCGTCCTTGTTGCTGTCCAGGCTGCTGCTCGTAGAGTACATCCCATAAAGGGCCAGGCAGCTCTGTGCCCTCATCCTTGTTGCTGTCCAGGCTGCTGCTCGTAGAGTACATCCCATAAAGGGCCAGGCAGCTCTGTGCCCTCATCCTTGTTGCTGTCCAGGCTGCTGCTCGTAGAGTACATCCCATAAAGGGCCAGGGCCACATCCTTGCTCCCGTGCTGGTGGAGGCCTCACGGGGTACGGCATACAGGTGAAGGCCAGGGTTGGCCCTGGAGCTTTCCGGAGCCATAGGCTCTGATCTTGGGCCAACTCGCTGGTGCAGGTGCAGCGCCCTGGTCAGGTCTCAGGAAGTTCCTCATGCTTGGGGCTCCCCTTGGGAGGCCCCTCCATACTGTCCTGAGGAGTGAGTAGAGCCTAGAAAGCAGCACTGGCAACCAGGTTAGCTTTGGTTCCACTCCTTCCTCCCCCAGGATGTGGGGTGCATGTCCAGGGCCCGCCTATCGTGGAGGAAGAGGGGGGCCCAGGTGGAAACAGCCAGGAGACTGGGGCATCCTTGGCCATCCTAGGGGCCAGGTGGATGGAGAGGAGAGGCCAGCCTCCACTCCCTGCTGCTCCATCCCCATGGGACAATCAGGGATTCAGACCCTGAGGCCCAGCGGTAAACAATGGAGCCCTTGAAGGCCTGTCCTCCGCCCCCCAATTGTGCTTGGTGGTGAGAGCTGGCCCTGGCCCTGGCCACACATCCTCAGGGAGGGCCAGGAAGACCGGCAGAGTCCAGCCTGCAGGAGGGAGGGCTCCTGAGACTTGTTTCCTGGCCTGCAGAAGGTAGGGGCTGCTTGGGACCTCAGTCTCGCCCAGGGGAGGTGTACAGGTTGCTTGAGGGCCTGCCCCAGGGAAGACACATGAACTGTAACATAGTCCATGCAGACCCCCACCAGGCCTTGGAGGGCTCTGAGGACATCACAGGCAGGGACAGGAGTGGGGTCCCAGCCGCTGGGCTGGAGCAGCGAGGTGCTCGCCCTTGCCTGATGTGCCGCAGTGGCGGCCTTGCGGAGCAGGTAGGCGGGGTGGGCAAAGTAGGCTTGCCACTGTGTCACTGTGAAGCCAAATATCTGGTGTGCTCCTGAGGCTCAGTGGGGTGGGGGTGGTCCGGGCTTGGGTTGCCATCGGGAGCAGAGGGAGCAGGGATGCTGCCAGAACAGCACAGTGCCCTCCCTAGTGGCCTGAGAAGGGGCTGGGAGGAAGGCTTCTTCCTGCCTGAGCCTCCTCCCTGCCCTGTACCCCAGAAGCCCTGGGAGGGAAGGCACACGGTGAGGATTGTGTGCCACGCCTGAGCCTACATGCTGCTGACAGCCAGTTCCACTTCATAGGCTCAGGTGCCAGCACCATGCCCTGCTGTCCAGGGTCATGGGCCTGTGTCCCACCACCTGCCCCCGTGTGACGGGGGGGCCATACAAAGAGGTGGGATAGAACTTTACCCCCAGGGTTCCACCGGAGGGACCTGGAGGGAGGGCGGGGAGGCTGCAGTGGGGTTGGTTGTGTCGGTGGCTGTGGCCATGGGCGTGGCCTGAGGTCCCCAGGCCTGAGGTCTGGTGCTGGGGGCCCGGGCTGCTACATCCTGCTGGGCAGTCAGGAGGTATGTGGTTGGGGCAGAGACTATGTGTCCTGGGTGACAGCCATGGCCTTGCTCTGATGTGCTTTTACACCAGGGTAGGGAGTGTGCACAGGGCACAAGGCCAGGATCCAAGTAGGGTCTGGCAGAGACCAAGGTGCCATCATTTTCTGTTCCTGTGGTGAGCTGAGCCCTTTGGGTGCCCTGCTGCCCCTGGGCAGGTGGACAAGGGTGCCCCTGGGTAGCAGGTAGGGTCCTTGCTCAGGCCCAGGATAGGCAGGGCCTTGTGAGGATGAACCCTCTCTCCAGCCCTGAAGGACTGGGCTGCCTGGTCACACCGACACCTGGATAGGCAGGTAGGCTGCTCACTAAGAAGCCACCGATGCCACTGTCCTTGCTGCTCCCGGCTGCTGGGGACAGGACCCTGCTCCGCTCTGTCACTGGGAGTTCCTGGGCAGGTGTCACTTTGGGGTCCCTTGGGCCTGCCTCTGTGAGGGTCCATCTTGCACCTGCAGCAGGTGTAGATGGCACACTGGCCAGGGCGAGCACAGCAGGTTGCCACACCCCCTGCCCCCCAGGCCTGGTGGATGATAGCAGTGCCTGTGCTTTACCAGAACTCGGGTCTCCAAGTCCTGCCCGGCATGGCTCCAGACTACCCTGAGGCGCATCTTGGCCGAGTCGTAGGGTTCTGGACAAGGCTTCTGGTCCCCCTGTGAGAGCCCCTGTGGGCACTGCTGGTGAGACTCCCGGTGCTCACGGGTTTCAGTGGGGCCGCAAGGTGAAGAGCTGAGTCAGGGTCCAGGAGGCACTGCCAGGCTGCTGATCCGGTCACTCCCTGTGCCCCTGCCTCCAAGGCCAGGTGTGTGGAAGAGGCTTACAGTCTTCACTGGCATCTGTCTCCTCTGCACTGACCCCCAAGTTAGAACCTGACATCCAGACCATAACCTGTAACCTACATGGGGCTCCTGGTCAGCCTCATGTTCCCCCAGGAGGGTGCCTGTTCTCAGGTTGTGTGTGTTCCTGCGCACAGGTGGACCTGGGGGTGAGCACCCACATGTGCAACCCCTGGTGTTCTGTGTCCTTGTCCCCTCCCTGCCCCAGCTCGCAGACCTCAGGGCCTCCTCTTGGGGGTGGAGCACTGACATTCAGAACTGTCCAGCAGGCCCACAGGTCTCCACATACCTGCATATGTTCTATGGGAAACGGCCCACCTCTGTCAGGCTATACATGAGCTCATCCTGGTGTCTCCACCATGGCCCGTTATCCCTGGAACAACCGCCAGCTAAAGGGACAGGGCAGCACTGGGAGTTAGCCCGACCTAGTGGGCGGCAGCTCTTGAGCAGACCGGAGGGATCCAGCACATTTGTGTGCACATGTGTGTGCACAGACATGTATGTAGGAATGTGTGTGCAGAGGGCAGCCTGCTGAGGGGCCACTGTAAGGTACCCCTCTGAGTGGGTGTGGACCTGGGCTCACAGAGGGAGGACCTGAACAGCAGGGACCCAGAGGCAGTGATGGCACGGGCCTGCTACTCAGGGGCAAGATGGCCACACTCATTTTGCTCATGGCCTGAGTATGGTGTGGGCAGAGACACACACGCTGAGCTGCCCGGGCAGGGAGGCATTTGGGTCTGCCACGGCTTGCGGGCCCTGGCAGGTGCCTACGTCCTGTGGAGGAGGTAGCTGGGCCCCAGGGCTACATCTGGGCTCTGCCAGGTGAGCACCAGGACCACAGATCCAAGAGCAGGCTTGCAAATGAGCAGCTGTGACGGTGCCTGCGCCTGCATGTGCCTGCATGACGGGTCCCCAGGCAGTCATCTTGGGCTGTGCACATCTCCCTAACTGCATGCTCCATGATAATCAGCCACAAAGGAGTCTTTACCCCAGAGGAGACCCTGAAACGCGTGAGCTAGTGCCCCCCCAGAGGAGCAGGCAGGTCCTGGGCCTGCGGGAGAAGGAAGGGCGTGCAGTGGCCTGAGGGGCTAGGGACTACCTGTCTGTGTGTGAAGGTGTGGACCGTGTGCACATACAGGAGTGTGCATGGGTTGAGAGTGGTGTATTTTATGTGCATACACACACCACATGTAAGACTGCACGTCTCATGCACCATGTGTATGTTTGGATGCATCTGTCCCATGTGTGTACATAGGGTGTGCACCTGTGAGTGCCCGTGTGAGTATGTGTATGGTGTGCATCTATGAATTCACATGTGCCTGTATGTTGGGGCCAAGTGTGTACAGGTGTGCTCATGTGTGTATGTGCATCTCTAAGTGCATGTATGTGTGTGCATCGGCACTTGTATGCACAGGAAGGTTTGTGTTTGTGTGTGTAAAGGTGACTTTGCATGTGTATGTATCTGTGAGCACACATGGGTGTGCATCAGTGCAGACGTGCATGGGAGGGTCATGTCTGTGTGTGGCCCCAGAGGGGCTGTGCAGATGTGAGGAAGCAGGGTCGTTTCCTCAGGAACCTGGGCTGCCCCGTCTTCCTCTGGTGTGGTGAAGCCCCAGATGCATAAAGGCCGAGCTCGTGGCTCCGGCTGCTGGCCCCACACCTGCTGCTGCAGCCACAGCCCCTGCTTCCCAGGCCGGTGTGAGGGAGGGCAGAAGTGACACTGTCGTGGTTTGAGGGCTCCTGCCCCAAAGCTCCTCAGGTGCAGGTACTGGCTCTAGGGTGAATGAAGCAGGACAGGCATCAGGGAGCTGTAGGGGCCCCGGTTGGGCATGTGCCTGCTGGGCTTGGCAAGTCTGGGATGTCGCTGGTAGAGACTGTCCCAGGTGCCCGCAGCCTCTCAGACACGGTCCTGACCCGGCTGCGAGGGTCCAGAGGTCCCAGAGTGGGAGTGGGCAAGGAGAACAGGCTCTGGGCTGCGGCGGTGGCGGGGCAGTCCCGTGGCAAGAGCTTCCTGAGAGCAGGGTCGCTCGCACGGTAGAGCCGCGGAGCTGCTGTGCAGTGTGTGAGGAGGGGGGTGGGACTGGAGTGGGGGCTCGGCAGGGCGGGGGCCAGGCCGCGATCCCTCTCTGCCCACCAGAGGGGCAGTGCCCTTGCTGCCTCCTGGCCCTTGCACTTACACTTCTGAGGCCGGGGGCACTCGGGGCACTCAGCCGGGCAGGTGCTCTCTGGTAGAGGAGGTCGGAGGGAAGGCCTAGAGCAGGCTGGGGCTGCTTTGGTCGGCAGGGTGGTAACCCGGCGGGTGCCGGGGTGTGCAACCAGGAGGTCATGTTGACCAGGTCCACCCGCAGGTCCCCCACGCCCGCGCCCATGACCAACATGAGCTGGAGCTTCCTGACGCGGCTGCTGGAGGAGATCCACAACCATTCCACCTTTGTGGGCAAGGTGTGGCTCACTGTGCTGGTAGTCTTCCGCATTGTGCTCACGGCCGTGGGCGGTGAGTCCATCTATTCGGACGAGCAAGCCAAGTTCACCTGCAACACGAGGCAGCCAGGCTGTGACAACGTCTGCTACGACGCCTTCGCGCCGCTGTCCCACGTGCGCTTCTGGGTCTTCCAGATTGTGGTCATCTCCACGCCGTCCGTGCTCTATCTGGGCTACGCCGTGCACCGTCTGGCGCGCGCCTCGGAGCAGGAGCGCAGGCGAGCGCTGCGCCGCCGCCCGG